TAAATCTCTTTTCATTAAACACAAAACAGAGTTACATTCTTGGCTCAAGATATAGATTTTGGTGTTTTAAACATGTCAAATTGCACCCCCCATCCCCAAACCCTCAGAACTACAGTGCGTCTACCCACAAGATCAATATAGATAAAACAATAGTGAGTCATTTATATACACATATACATCTTAGACCATAAAGAAAAGGAAAGACAAAAAAAAAGTAGTTATCATGACAAATACAAATACTACTAAGGAGTAGTGAAACAACATTAACCATGTTTATACATATATGTACATATGTTCCTACAAAACATAACAAAGGGGGACAGAACAGCCTTATTCATCTAACTTCTGTAGGTCTTAGCCATCACATTTCCGATGGTTTACTGTTAGTGATTCTCAGGAAGTGTCTTGATCTTTTCAAAATATTTTGTCAATGGAATCCAAATGCCATAAAACTGATCATTGGATCATCTTAGTGTACAGTATATTTAATCTTTTCTAATTTTAGGGCCGATGCAGATTCTGTTTTAAGACCCCTTCAGACTGGAGGCTAATCGTGCTTTAAAGAGGTCTCCACTCCTAAAACAACCCGACCAGAGGAGGCTCTGTCCCTCTCAGGGTCTGCTGCAGCCATCAGAGCTCTCATTACCTGCTCTATTCTCAGGATTCGGTTACTTCAGACGCGTTTTTGTGCCAAAAACATCAAAAGGATTCAGTTGAATTGAGTCAAAGTGGTGAAAAACACCAAACTCTCACTGTTGGACACACTGAAATGTTCATATTAAGACAAAAGGGTACGTTCACACTTATTTCTGCTGCTTAAAATTGTATTGCCTTTTTTACCAACATTTATGCTTAATATTTAAGATGATTTCTAATAAAACTTCAATGCTGGTTATGGCTACAGTTCAAAGAATTTCTATCTATATCCGAAAATAAGAATCAAAGCTGGTAAAATCTCCTTTAAACCTCCAAACCAAAGCTGGTAAAAATCACCTTTAAACCTGCAAATTAAAGCTGGTAAAAAATCACCTTTAAACCTGCAAATCAAAGCTAATAAAAGTCTTCTTTAAACCTCCAAATCAAAGCTGGTAAAATCAAATTAAAACCTGCAAACCAAAGCAATGGTGATGCGAATCAAAGCTAATAAAAGTCCAATTTAAACCTGCCAATCAAAGGTAATAAGAATCACTTTTAAACATGCAAATCAAAGCTAATAAAAGTCATTTTTTAAACCTCCAAATCAAAGCTGGTAAAGATCAGCTTTAAACCTCCAAATCAATGCTCATGAGCCATTTTTAATGCTCCAAATAAAAGCTGGTAAAATCACCTTTGAACCTCCAAATCAAAGCTGGTACAATCAAATTCAAACCTGCAAATAAAAGCAATGATGAAGAGAGTCAAAGCTAATTAAAGTCAAATTTAAACCTGCCAATCAAAGCTAATAAAAGTAATTTTTAAACCTCCAAATCAAAGCTATTAAAAGTCATCTTTAAACTTCCAAACCAAAGCTCGTAAAATCACCTTTAAACCTCCAAATCGAAGCTAATAAGAATCACTTTTAAACATGCAAATCAAAGCTAATAAAGTAATTTTTAAACCTTCATACCAAAGATGGTAAAATCAACTTTAAACCTCCAAATCAAAGCTGGTAAAATAACCTTTAAACTTCCAAATCAAAGCTGGTAAAATCACATTTAAACCTCCAGATCAAAGCTAATAAGTCATCTTTAAACCTCCAAATCAAAGCTGGTAAAAATCACCTTTAAACCTCTAAACCAAAGCAATGATGATGAGAATCAAAGCTAACAAAAGTCCAATTTAAACCTGCCAATCAAAGCTAACAAAAGTCCGATTTAAACCTGCCAATCAAAGCTAATAAGAATCACTTTTAAACATGCAAATCAAAGCTAGTAAAAGTATTTTTAAACCTCCAAACCAAAGCTGGTAAAATCACCTTTAAACATCCAAATTGAAGCTGGTAAAATCAACTTTAAACCTCCAAATCGAAGCTGGTAAAATAACCTTTAAACCTCCAAATCAAAGCTTGTAAAAGTCAACTTTAAGCCTCCAAATCAAACCAATGATGATGAGAATCAAAGCTAATAAAAGTCAAATTTAAACCTGCCAATCAAAGCTTATGTCACCTTTAAACCTCCAAACCAAAGCTGGTAAAAGTCATTTTTAAACCTCCAAATCGAAGCTAATAAGTCATCTTTAAACCTCCAAATCAAGCTGGTAAAATCACCTTTAAACCTCCAAATCGAAGCCTGAAAACCACCTTTAAAGCTGCAATCCGAGGCGGTTTTGGGTTGTGTCCTACCTGTGTTCAGGTGAGCAGCGTTCAGGTGAGCAGCGTTCAGGTGTGCGTCCCGCTTCGAAACCCTTTCACAGAGAGCAGCAGCAGAGAGACGGGTCCTCAGTCAACACATTCCCAGAGAGTGAGGAGCAGCATCCCCCCGTCCGCCCAGAGAGAGCCGGCGGAGGAGGAGCGAAGCCGGTAAAACCATCTTTAAACCTCCAAACCAAAGCTGGTAAACTCTAATTTAAACCTACCAATCAAAGCTAATAAGAATCACTTTTAAACATGCAAATCAAAGCTAACAAAAGTCATTTTTAAACCTCGAAACCAAAGCTGGTAAAATCACCTTTAAACCTCCAAATCAAAGCTGGTAAAAACCACCTTAAAACCTCCAAATCAAAGCTTGTAAAACCATCTTTAAACCTCCAAATCGAAGCTGGTAAAATCAACTTTAAAACCTCCAAATCACAGCTGGTAAAAACCACCTTTAAACCTCCAAATCAAAGCTTGTAAAACCATCTTTAAACCTCCAAATCGAAGCTGGTAAAATCAACTTTAAAACCTCCAAATCAAAGCTGGTAAAATCAACTTTAAAACCTCCAAATCAAAGCTTGTAAAACCATCTTTAAACCTCCAAATCGAAGCTGGTAAAATCAACTTTAAAACCTCCAAATCAAAGCTGGTAAAAACCACCTTTAAACCTCCAAATCAAAGCTTGTAAAACCATCTTTAAACATGCAAATCAAAGCTAATAAAAGTAATTTTTAAACATGCAAATCAAAGCTGGTAAAATAACCTTTAAACCTCCAAATCGAAGCTGGTAAAAACCACCTTTAAACCTCCAAATCAAAGCTTGTAAAATCACCTTCAAACCTCCAAATCGAAGCCTGAAAACCACCTTTAAAGCTGCAATCCGAGGCGGTTTTGGGCTGACAGATGCCCGTCTTAAGGCAGCTTCTACCTCAGCTTCAGGTGAGCAGCGTTCAGGTGTGCGTCCTGCTTCGAAACTCTCACAGAGCGGCAGCAGAGAGACGGGTCCTCGGTCAACACATTCCCAGAGAGTGAGGATCAGCCCAGAGAGAGCGGGCCGGGGCGTTAAACGGGGGCTGGAGGAGTCATGTGCTTCTCATCAGCAACTCTGGAGCGCTGCCAGGAGCCCCGCGCTCAGACGGGAGCAGAGCAGTGGGTCTGCCCCCCCCCCTGCACCCCCCATAACAAACCAAACTAAAGCTGGGGGGGGGCAGCTCTGCCAGGCTGCAGTCCACTGAGCATCCACAGGCAGGGGGTTTGGGAGAAATCAGAGCTGGTAAAGTCACATTTAAACTAAAAATCTAAGCAGGTAAATTCTCCTTTAAACCTGAATATCAAAGATTATAAAAGTCATCTTTAAACCTGAAAATCAAAGCTGGTAAAATCACCTTTAAATCTGAAAATCAAAGATAATAAAAGTCATCTTTAAACCTGAAAATCAAAGCTGTTAAAAGTCACCTTCAAAACCTCCAAATCAAAGCAATGATGATGTGAAATAAAGCTATTAAAAGTAATCTTTAAACCTGAAAATCAAAGCGAGTAAAAGTCATCTTTAAACCTGAAAAACAAAGTTGGTAAAAGTAATCTTTAAACCTCCAAATCAAAGCTGTTAAAAGTCACCTTCAAACCTCCAAATCAAAGCAATGATGATGTGAAACAAAGCTATTAAAAGTAATCTTTAAACCGGAAAATCAAAGCTGCTAAAATCTCGTTTAAATCTGAAAATCAAAGCAATGATGATGAGAAACAAAGCTATTAAAAGTAATCTTTAAACCTCCAAATCAAAGATGGTAAAAGTCGTCTATAAACATCCAAATCAAAGCTGGTAAAATCTCCTTTAAACCTGAAAATCAAAGCTGGTAAAAGTCATCTTTAAACCTCCAAATCAAAGCTGGTAGAATTCAACTTTAAACCTGCAAATCAAAGCTAATAAAAGTAATCTTTTATTAGCCGCCACCATCAGGGAGGGTAAGGAGAAGCTTCCTGCTGCTCTGGGACAAATCTGAAGATGTTACCACAAAATTAGCAGAGTTAATTCA